GGTGACTTCTCCCATCTCTGACAAGATGGCCATGGAGTCGGGTAGCCCATACTTTGCCCCAGACTTAGGTTTATCACTGCAAAACTCACTCACATCTTGCATCTCTTTCTGCAGTCGCACCAAGGCCTTCCGTGTGCCAACAGCAAACACATAGGTATCCATGTCTTCATCATTCATGGTTACTTTTATTTGCACTTGATCACTAACAGGCCTCATCATCCTGGCCAGGACATTCAGCAAGTCTTGTCTCTTCAGGAACCTCAGCTGGATCAGCATGCCTTCACAGCACACTCGGCCAGAACACCACAGGTTGTAGATGTGCTCGTTCTCCTGGTTCAGCTTTCCTGTGCTTGTGGGTTCTTTGTTAGTTCCATCATCCCCTACTAGAGTAAAGTTGTTCTCCAACAGCTCTCTGTGAGTGTTAAACCAGGCCTGGGCAAGACGGCTATTTTTGTTCTTCCCAATGATATAATTCATGATGTAGGCAAGAAGGCCAGTCACCATCAAAATTTCTAGATAATAACTCTCCCAGCTGTTCTGGAGATGTGCAGGCACATCGACAATTGTTATTGGGTCTTTATTTTTGCTGGAAGTGGTATCTGGTTTGTCTTCATAGCCTTCACATTCTTCATCGTCATATGGCTCTTTCTCAGTGTCCCCCTCCTGGGTGTCTGTATCTTCAAAATCTTCTTCCTGGTTTTCATCCTGCCCTTCCAATTCCACAGTGGTCTCCTCCTCATCATCCTCAGTGGTTATCACCCGCTGAGGAGACTGAGTAGCAGAATCTTCCATGACATCCTCAAATTCGGCAAAGTCATTATCATCATACTCCACTAAGTCGTCTTCATCCTCAAAGTCATCAAACTTTGCTTCAGAGAAGCTCCCCAACACCAAAAGGACAACACAGACAGTGTAGAGGCCTTTCATTGTACCAGCTCGCTCAGTCATGTCGAGAAACTCTTCACGTAGACTCCTCTCCGCTACGTCAAGTGCGTATCTGGCACTGTCAATTACCCTGGAAGCACAGCAGTCTTGATTTGAGTGCTCACCTCTCTTCTTTGCCTGTTGCCAGTAAAGACACATCTCAGCTGGGCAGCCACTAACAACATGGACAACCAAAGCAATAACAGAGTCCACTACCAGCCCTGGACTTTCGGCTAATCGTTTACTGGACGGAGGGAGTTGCAGTGTTAATTCAAAATCCGTGTGTCTGCAGCACTTTGAATCCACTAGTGCCTCCTTGGGAGAGAGAAGGGCAGTCTCCTCCTCTGACAATCAACAGCCTCAGAAACCTCAGAAAGGGTCACCATAATTGGGACCCCTCTCAGTGGCAGAGAGAGAGTGTCTGACCCTTCCAGATGCAGGTCACCAGACCTTCCTTGGAGCTGCTGGTGGGTTTGAACTTTGACTTCTTTCCAGTTCAGCCACTGCTGTGAATTTGCTTTTCCACTTCAGATAGCTGAATTATAATCTACATTTTGACCACATCTCCAGATAATTCACATAGAAACTCAAGTTGACCCTTACATATACATTATTGTTGTTGTGTGCCATCAAGTCAGAACTGATCCATAGCTGACCCTCCAGTGGATTTTCAGAGGTATTAAGTCACACGGAGGAGATTGAACAGCTTTCTCCCATGGAACAAGAATCCGTGGATTCAAACCTTGAGCCTTTGGGATTACAGTGTAGTTTCTTAACCACTTGGCCACAAGAGCTCCCACATATGCATTGTTGTTGTTGTTATGTGCCATCAAGTTATTTGTGACTCCTAGTGACCCTGTGTACAGCAGCCTGAACCCTGCTCTATCCTGTGCCAATCTTATTGTCTCTGGCACACCTACCCTCATTATCCCAGTCACTGAATCAATCCATCTCATCCAGGGTCTTCCTCTCTTGCACTGTCCCATCATCCTTCCAAGCAGGATGTCTAATTAAAAGGTAGATTCTAACTCAGCATCTGTGGGGGTAGAAATGAATATTTTTTCAGCAGGAGACTAAACTGGAGTGATCTGCTTAAAAGACCTGATTTGAACTGCTGGCCTTTCAGCTAGAAGCAGAGTGCTTAACCATTGCATCTCCAGGCTTCTTGACAGCAAGGCTTACAAACATTTCATTGCCAGGATGCACTATAAGAAACGTGCTTATGTACAATACCCCAGCTTAAACAAACCTGCAAAATGCACTTATCTTGACCCATAGTAATTGACAAATAGTTTTCAACCTTCAGTTTAAAAATAAATGTTATTCTTGAAGGGAACACCCAGTTCTTGATAGGTGACAGATTTAAAAGACCCAAACTCAGACTGATTGTGTTTTAGACAGTTCTGACTCATAACAACTCTCCATTGGGTTTCTGTGAATCAATACAGAAGGAGACTGCCCATCTCTCTCCCTCAGGGCCTCTGGTGGATCTGAACCACCAGACACAAAAGCTTGGCCTCTAGGACTATGGACTATGCCACCAGGGCTCCCGATATGTCAGATAAGGAATTTCGTAATCCATCCAGCTCTGTTTCCGAATGAGAACAACATCTTAATCATCATAGTCAGACAATACTTCCAGTGGCACATAATAAATGGCTTCATCTGAGATTTAAGACAGATTGCCAGATGCTGCCAAGAAAGCTGAGCTGGAAACAGAATCTAGAGGCAGGTGAGGTCTCGTCTGCCACTATCTTAAATCCATTGAAACAACATGAAGCACTCAAGCAAGTGTGTGTGTGTGTGTGTGTGTGTGTGTGTGTGTGCACGCGTGCGCACGCTCGCATGTATGTGTATGTACACACATTTTTCATTTGCTGGGCATCACAACGGCTAGGCTGGATGATTCTTTAAAATCTGAAACCCAGGCCTACTGAAAACCAGACTCTCCTGGGAAGGCATGGGTGCATCTGTATTTTTTTTAAAGGCTACTCAGATAATTGTGATGCAGCCATGGGGGATTACATTGCCAGCAACTTCACTTTGATTCAGCTAGGCAGGAACCCAGAGGAAATGCTGCTAGACTACACTACCTTAGCCCTCATCTGCACAAGTACCTTCATCCTCCAACATTCTCACTCACTTAGGCATGCCCACAGCTCTGTAAGGATGATACACTAGTCTTTGCTTTAGGGAGTGTGTGTGTGTGTGTGTGTGTGTGTGTGTGTGTGTGTGTGTGAAAGAGAGAGAGAGAGAGAGAGTGATCCTAAGTAGGCCAGAAACTGGAGCACATAGTTGTAATATTTGTCTCTCAAAGCACTTTTAAAAGAAAGAAACACGCATGATAGGAAGGCTAAGGCCTTTTTCTAAGCCCCTGCCCTCCAAGGCATAATTACAGATCAAATGCTGCATCTGGGAAGGCCAGTAGATTGGTGAATGTGTTCACTGGTCCAGAAGTGCCTGAACTCACAGCTTGTGCACTCAGAAATGCCAGCTGTGCTTTGTTACAAGACAGTTCTCATTTCATCCAGACACAAACTATTCTAACATAATATCCCTTGTGTTATTTTACTCTTTACCCCTAGGATTCTGGAAACAAAATGACACCCATATCCTTGGCCAGCTGAATTTCAACAAAGGTGCAAATAAAGTCAGTGGGGAAAGAAAAGTTTAAAATAAATGGCACTGGCCAACTGGAGCTGTGCATACAAGCGGATGAAGTTAGATCCCTACCTCACACCATAAAAATTACCTCATGATATATATTGTCACCAAGTCAGAACTCATGATATATTATGTGTCATATTACCTCATGATATATTATGTGTCACCAAGTCAGAACTAATTCGTAACTGACTCCCCAGTGGGTTTTCAGAAGCAGTAAATCACACAGAAGGAGACTGGCCATTTTCTCTGGAGCAGCTGGTAGATGTGGCAATGCAACTCCTTATCGCTAAGCCACAAGAGCTGCTTTTAAAAGAGATGTAAGGCCTAAACCTAAGAGCTAAAATCACAAAACTCTTGGAAGAAATGGTAGGAATAGAACTTTAGGATCTTGTATTGGCATTGAGTTCTTAGAGAAGATGCCAAAGCATGAGCAAAAAAAAAAAAAAAGATTAAAACTTTTATGCATTAAAAAACATCGAGTAGAAGAAAATATTTGGGAGTATCTGGTGATGCAGTGTGTAATGTGTCAGTCAGCTAACCCAAAGGTCAGAAGTTAGACTCCACTAGCTCCTCCACAGGAGAAAGATGGACAGTCTCTTTTTTGTGGGTTCGCCAGGATTCAGAACCAAATTGACGGCAGTGGATTTAGGGAGGTTTTTTTTTTTTGTTTTATGTATCAATGTCTTAGTTATCTAATACCTCTATAACAGATCTTGTAAGTAATGGCTTTAACAGTCTGTTACTGTCTAGAAGTTCAAATGCAGGATGCCAGCACTAAAGAGGTTTTTTTCCTGTCAGTAGAAGAAAAGCCTTCATTTTCTTCAGCACCTGCAGGTCCACTTCTTCTTTATCAAGGGAGCTTCGTTGTGTAGTAAGATAAAATGAATTTCTGGCCACACTCTAGAAGAACTCCCTTTACATCTGATTAGAGCTGTGATGGGGTGAGAGACTGCTGCATTCTACCCTTAATCTTACAACTTCCTTCTTCATTGGATCATGGGGGATCACTGTATAGTTTCCATATTATGTTTGTAAATACAACATTTTTGAAAGACATAGTTCAGTCTATGACGATCTGGTAAGGGTTTGCTATGGAAAACATAAAAAGAACTCCTGTAACTTAACAACAAAAAGACAAAGCAGCACATAAGAAGGGATGAAATGATGATATCCTTTGACAAAGAAGTTTAAGAAACTAGACAATAAAGGACAAATGCTGTAGGATTCCACTTATGTGAAATACCTAGGCTAGATCAATGATTTAGAGAGCCCTCAACACCAGGGGAGTAGAAGCAGCAGCAGAGAAGGAAATGCATGTCCTTTGCCAGAGGCATCTTGCTGTTAATTAAGAAGCTGCCTGGATTGACTGAGAGGCTGAATCTTGCTGTTGACAGAGAAGCTGTGTGAACTAAATGAGGGAGTGTGTCTTATTATTACCCTGGCTTGGATCTGCTATTTCCTAAACCTGGATTTAAAGTGTGTGATATCCTTTGCCTCCTTCCACTCACCACAAACTGTTTCCCTAATAAACTCCACAATTGTGAGCAAAAAGAGGTAAATTCTATGTGATTGTTTGTAATGAATATCAGACCCAGTGATTAGTAGAAGTAGGTGGGGAGGGGCGGGGGGGTGGTGAAGGGTGAGAGGTGGGGTGAGCAGAGGGGGCATGTCTGACCAAGGGATCAGTTTCACACAAATGTGAGTGTTGTTGATGGGAACATTTCCCCTTTGTGGAATTAACAGAGGTTGGACTTAGCCGGGCCCCATGTTTCTCTTGCTCCTTTTATTCTTATGCATTTTTTTTCTTTGTGTGTACCATCGAATCAGATCCAACTTACACAGGAGGAGGTGTTGCCCCTTCTTTTCTAGCAGAGCATCTGGTGGATTCAAACCATGAGCCTTCAGGATTGCAGCGCAGCTTTTTGCCAGTAGGCCACCAGAGCTCCCTACTCATAGGCATTTTGCCAGAATTGTTAAAATGTCATTTGGGTCATGTCCTTTATCACACACAAATCATCATGCAAAATGTGAGGGGGTATTAATAATCAATAATTTGGGGCCATGGATCTCCTCTCTTTGAGGAATTGTCTGTTTTGAGAAGTTTTCTGCCATGGGCCATGATTTGTTCTCCAAAGGTCAATACCTTTTTCTTGTAGAGGGCCAGATAATAAATATTTTAGGGCTTGTGGGCCAGTCTGCAGAGTCAATTTGATGTTTTAATGCAAAAGTTCCTATACAAACAACCAGCTGTTAATGCAATTCAGTCTGGCTCAGGACAACCTTGTGTGTATTGACGTAACACTGTGACTTGTTGAGTTTTCAAGATCACCAGGTCT